CTCTCCCACTGTCTTCTCTGCCGTTCTCTGCCCGCCCCATTCCCTCTTCTGCTCCTGGCTTTGTTTCCTCTAGAGGACTCACGGTCATGTTCGAGATCATGAAGAGCTATGGCCACACCTTTGAAAAGCACTGGTGGCAGGACCTGTTCAGAATCGTATTCAGGATTTTTGACAACATGAAACTCCCGGAGCAGCAGTCTGAGGTAGGTGACAACTAACGCACTGCCCTGGGAAAGGCGGGGGGCCCCTTTGCCCTTTGTCTGACTCTGGGGGCCATGTCACGGAAGCCTCAAATGCTGAGCTACTTAGGGTGTGTTTTAAAAATAGAAACACCCTTCCTGGCACTCTTCTACCAGGATCAACTAGTACTAAGAAACTCACCCCATCTGGGGAAGGGTCACCATGGTCCATCTGCCCACTTGGCCCTCGGGCATTGCGCTGCTCATTCAGCAGGGCACTTGACTGGACTGCTTAGTTACTGGGTTCATGTCGACTTCTCAACAGTTAGTAAAAAGTGGAATATCTCTGGTCCCTTTAAAAACCCATTAAAAGGATTTTTGATAAAATCGCAGTTGGAGATGATATTGGTAAACATTAGGCCTTTTTTTAAGGGCTGTTTGATGCCTCTAGCTGTCTTTATTATTTCTCCTCTAGGGGTAGGGGATGGGGAAAAGATACTCTATCTCAAGATTTTTAGATGGGAGAGTAACTTTTTTACCTTTTTTAGGAACACCATTCCCTCCCTCCCCCTGGTATTAAAGTAACATATCCTTAATATGGAATATTAGGAATATAGAGAAAATTCATAATTTTACCATTTAGGAATTAGGACTGTTTTGGCAGATTTCCCTCAGTCTTCTACATGGTTTAATATGGTTGAGGTCCTAGTATAGGTAAAGTTTTCTAATCTTACTTTAAAGTAACTTAAATTTTTCTTCATTATCAAGCAAATCAGAAAACAGAGGAAGAACTCATTTAAACACCCATAGTTCCAGGCAACCACTGTTTTTTTTCCTTGGTTTTTTTTTTTTTTTTGAGGAAAATTAGCCCTGAGCTAACTACTGCCAATCCTCTTCCTTTTTGCTGAGGAAGACTGTCCCTGAGCTAACATCCATGCCCATTTTCCTCCACTTTATATGTAGGACGCCTACCACAGCATGGTCTGATGAGTGGTGCCATGTCTGCACCCAGGATCCAAACCGGCGAACCCCAGGCTGCCAAAGCGGAATGTGCGCACTTAACCACTGTGCCACCGGGCCAGCCCCCAGGCAACCACTGTTAACCCTTCAGATAACTTCTCATGTGTGTGGGGTTTTTTTTGTTTTTTACAAAAATCGAATCCCAACACACATATTGTAAACTACCTTTTTAACTTATACATGAGTGTTTTACCACAACTCTAGCTTTTCTTTTGCAGCATTATAAGAGCTGCACAATATTCCTAGCTGTGGATGTTCCATGGTCCATGTAAAATTATTTCCAATTTTTCTTTCTTTAGGCAGCACTGAAATGAACATTTTTTGCAGCTACATTTTTACTTGTTTCTTTTTTATTCAGGATGGGTGGTCTGACCGTTAGGTCAGGGGCTTACACGTTACTGAGGCTTTTGATGTGAGCTTCTAAGCTGACCTCCCAGTAAATTTGTAGCCGTTTACACTGGAGCCATGCATGAGAGTTCCTGTTTCTCGTACTCTCTCGAGCTCTTCATATTTTAATTTATTTAATCATTGTTAAGTTGATGGGCCAAAAATATAACATTAAAACAATTTTCTAATTGCTGGTGAGTTTGCATATTTTCCTTTGCCTCATTGATCATTTGCATTTCTTTTTTTTTTTTTTCGTCTCCCCAAAGCCCCAGTACATAGTTGTATATCCCAGTTGTAAGTCATTCTACTTCTTCTATTTGGGATGCTACCACAGCATGGCTTGATGAGCGGTGTGTAAGTCCACACCCAGGATCCAAACCAACAAACTCCAGGCCGCCAAAGCAGAGTATATGAACTTAACCACTCAGCCATGGGGCCGGCGCCTGTGTTTCTTCTTTTATGAATTGCCTTTTCATATCCTTAGCCCCTCCCTGTTGGGTTATTCATCTTTTTCCTATTGATTTATGAGTCTTTTAATATATAAATAATATAGCAGATCCTTACGTAAATTGCAGGTGATTTTGCCCACTTTGTTATTCTCGTTTCTTTTCTGTTTTAGAAAATTTTAGCTTTTTTAAAAAAGTTAGCTCCCACCAACTACTGATTGATTGATTGATTGATTTTTGCTGAGGAATATTCTCCCTGAGGTAACATCTGCTGCCATTCTTCCTCTTTTTGTATGTGAGCTGCCGCCACAGCATGGCCACTGATAGACGAGTGGTGTGGATTGGCACCTGGGATCCGAACCTGGGCCACCAAGGCAGAGCACACTGAACTTAACCACTAGGCCACTGGGGCTGGCCCAAATTTAAGCTTTTAAAGAACTTAATCTGTCAGTTTTTCCTTTACGGTTTCTACTTTTGAGATCATGGTTAGCAATCCTTCCCTTGTCCATGATTTTATAAATCTCTCTCTATATTTCCTCTGGTAATTTCATGGCATCATTTTTAATATTTAAACTTTTGATGTGCAGTGTATTTAGTAAACTCTCATACTCATTTTTCCCAAATTTAAAACTTTTGTAAGTATCACTTTGAATGACTGTTAATATTCTGTCAAATGGATATATTTATTACTTAGCGTTATTTACAATAGCCAAGATATGGAAGCAAGCTAAGTGTCCATCAATAGACGAATGGATAAAGAAGAAGTGGTGTCTGTGTATACACAGACACACACACACAATGGAATATTACTCACCCATTAAAAAAAATGGAATCTTGCCATTTGCAACAACATGGATGGACCTGGAGGGTACTATGCTAAGTGAAATAAGCCAGACAGAGAAAGACAAACACCATATGGTTTCACTTATATGTAGAATCTAAGAAACAAAACAACAGAAACAGACTCATAGATACAGAGAACAAACTGGTGGTTGCCAGAGGGCGAGCAGGTGGGGAGTCAGGCAGAATAGGTGAAGGGGATTAAGAGGTACAAACTTCCAGTTATAAAATAAATAAGTCATGGAGATGTAATATACAGCGTAGAGAATGTAGTCAATAATATTGTAATGCCTTTGTATGATGGCAAATGGATACTAGACTTATAATGGCGATCATTTCATAATGTATATAAACATCGAATTACTATGTTGTACACCTGAAACCAACATAATATTGTAAGTCAACTATACTTCAATAAGTTAATTAATTCAATTTAATTTATAGCAGCGAAAAAAGTATCACTTTGAATTCCTGTTTAATATTCTGTCATGTGGATGCACTTAATTTATTCACATTGTTGGGCATTAATTTGTATCTGTGTTTTCAGTACCTAAATGCTAGTGTGGTAAACATCTTTATTCATAAACCTTCACCCACAAATCTTTGATTATTTCTTTAAGGTCCATTCTGGGAGTCATGTTGCTGCGTCAGTGGATATGAACGTTTTTAAGACTGTTGTTACATACTGCCAAATTGTTTTCTGGAAACGTTTGCCAATGATGTATAAGACTGCCCATCGCACTGCAGGGAGAGTTGCTTTTAGACATTATCTTTTTATTGTTTTCCAGAAGTCCGAGTGGATGACAACAACTTGCAATCACGCACTTTATGCTATTTGTGATGTCTTTACCCAGTTTTATGAAGCTTTGAATGAAGTTCTTCTTTCTGATGTATTTGCGCAGTTGCAGTGGTGTGTAAAACAAGGTACTCTGTATGTCTCTAGGCGTTATTTTTCTTGACATAGTCCTTAATGAGAGATTAAGTTTTTCAGTATATGAAAGCATGAATATAATGCCAAGGAGTACAAATGTATAATTTAACTAGTGAAAATGTATATTCTTTTAATTTAATTAGATCATAAAAACAACTTCCCCACCAAATCAGTTTGTAAAGCATTTCTTTAAGATGGGATGTAGTTGTTTTTATGTTTTAAAAGACGTACCTTTATACATTATACTATTCTTTCTGCTTTTGTATGTTTGAAATTTTCTATAATAAGATGTTTTTCAAAATGTGCTATGGGAGTTGAGATCAACAGCTTCATCAATGGACGTTTTTTGTTTGAGTATTTATGTGTTTATTTTGGGTATATCAGAAATAATACCCACGTACTACCTTACACCTGGATTCCATAGATAGTTTTGGCTTAAGATGAGGCTTAATTTACTTAAGTTTTTCAAAAGGTGACTCAGGTTTTTTTTGGTTGGTTTTTTTTTTTTTCCTGAGGAAGACTGGCCCTGAGCTAACATCTGTGCCCATCCTTCTCTATTTTATATGTGGGACACCTGCCCCACGGTATGGCTTGATAAGCAGTGTGCCCGGGATCCAAACTGGCAAACCCCAGGCCGCTGCAGCAGAGTGCATGAACTGAACTGCTGTGCCACCAGGGCGGCCCCATGACTCAGTTTTAAAATAAAAGATAAAACAGTTGATACTGATATGGCAAAAACTGGAGATGAAGTGTTTGACTAAATTTTTAGAAACACTGGTCTAATATTTTCCATCTTCTTTTACCATTTCTGGTACAGGAAGCCAGTTAATTAAGTAGCAAAATGTTGACCTTCCTCCATCTCAGCAATAAAACTATGATAAATAATTTTACCTCGTTAGGGCCTACTTTAACTATAAAAATGTTAATACCGTCTGTATCAGTGCTTCTCTTTAAGCCTATATATTTTTTTGTGTAGTCTCCACCTTAGAATATGAAGCATCAGCCATCTGGTGGGAATCAAAAACAGCAATTGAGGTTTAATGATAAATGTTGCTTTATTTTACAGATAATGAGCAGTTGGCTCGATCAGGTACAAATTGCTTAGAAAACTTAGTAATATCCAATGGAGAGAAATTCAGTCCTGCTGTTTGGGATGAAACATGCAATTGTATGTTGGATATTTTTAAAACAACCATCCCGCATGTGTAAGTGTCAGTGTAATTATTGCTATTTACTTCTGTGTTCAGTGGATATCTTAAAGCTCCGGGTTTCCTTTCACATTGATCATTTTCCTTCTCTTGCATTCCGCTAAGTTTGCTGACATGGAGACCTGCAGGAATGGAGGAAGATTCATCAGAAAAACATTTGGTAGGATTATTATTTTTTTTTTTGGTTGTCTTTCTGATATCATGGTAAAAAATTAAGCAGCCTGAAGAGTTTGTGCTTTTCTGATGGAAAGTGAGTAAGAAAGGTTAAGAGCTCTAAAAACATATGAAACCTATTTTTTAGAACGTACAGAAAAGTATTAAGAAAATAAGTCACCTCATCTAATGAAAACCACAGTTTATTTACATTTCTACGTTTTTCTTTATGTGACTGTGTGTATATAACGCACACACATGTGAAATTTGGGCACACGCGACATGTAATGTATTATGTAACAACATTGTGAGCATTTCTCTATATTTTTGTTTATTTAGTGATTTCTTTCCTTTTTTTTTTTTTAAAAATTTTTCCTCCTTCTCCCCAAACCCCCCAAGTACATAGTCGTATATTTTAGTTGTGGGTCCTTCTAGTTGTGGCGTGTGGGACGCCGCGTCAGCATGGCCTGGTGAGCTGGGCCAGGTCTGTGCCCAGGATCTGAACCAGTGAAACCCTGGGCCGCCGAAGCAGAGCGCACAGACTTAACCACTCAGCCATGGGACCAGCTCCCTCTCCATATTTTTAAATATTCTTTGAGAACCGCCTTTTCAGTGGCTGCACATTATTATAATTTACTTAACTAATGCTCCCTTGTTGGACTCTCAGGTCAGTTCTGCGTCTGTTACAGGTAACACTTGGGTGTAATTATCGTCATTTGTTGTTCTCCTAAATAAAGAGTGCTTTCCTCCACACCAGTAAAACAGTGGTGCTTATTTTTTGTGTGAGGCCACATAAAGAAGTTCTAATTCAAGTCTCACTTTAGAATACTTTGGTTTACAGGGGGTTTGTAATATTAACCTCTATTCCCAAATAACTATAAGGCTATTAGATTTTGAAAAGCATTTGGGATATACCAACTTAAAAATGAAGCACATTATTTTTAAACATTTTCTGTTTTTTAACTCTGTCTTCTGCTTTCAACTTGAAAAAAAAAAAGCTAGCTGTCTCACCAGTTTATTTTTGGACTTGATCTCATTAAAAATTTGTCACTCTTGAACAAACAATCCTAAAATTCATATGGGGCAACAAAAGACCGTGAATTGCTAAAGCAATCCTGAGCAAGAAAAACAAAGCCGGCGGAATCACAATCCCCGATTTCAAAACATACTACAAAGCTACAGTGATCAAAACAGCATGGTACTGGTACAAAAACAGGTCCACAGATCAATGGAACAGAATTGAAAGCCCAGAGATAAAACCACACATCTATGGACAGCTAATCTTTGATAAAGGAGCAGAGGGCCTACAATGGAGAAAAGAAAGTCTCTTCAACAAATGGTGCTGGGAAAACTGGACAGCCACATGCAAAAGATTGAAAATTGACCAGTCTTTTTCACCACACACCAAAATAAACTCAAAATGGATCAAAGACCTAAAGATTAGGCCTGAGACAATAAGTCTTTTGGAAGAGAATATAGGCAGTACACTCTTTGACATCAGTTTCAAAAGAATCTTTTCGGACACTGTAACTCCTCAGTTGAGGGAAACAATAGAAAGAATAAACAAATGGGACTTCATCAGACTAAAGAGCTTCTTCAAGGCAAGGGAAAACAGGATTGAAACAAAAAAACAGCTCACTAATTGGGAAAAAATATTCACAAGCCACTTATCCGACAAAGGGTTAATCTCCATAATATACAAAGAACTCACACGGCTTAACAACAAAAAAACAAACAACCCGATCAAAAAATGGGCAGAGGACATGAACAGACATTTCTCAAAAGAAGATATGAATATGGCCAATAGACACATGAAAAGATGTTCATCATCGCTAATCATCAGGGAAATGCAAATCAAAACTACACTAAGATATCACCTTACACCCGTTAGATTGGCAAAAACATCCAAAACCAAGAGTGACAAATGTTGGAGAGGTTGTGGAGAAAAAGGAACCCTCATACACTGTTGGTGGGAATGCAAACTGGTACAACCACTATGGAAAACAGTATGGAGATTTCTCAAAAAGTTAAAAATAGAAATACCCTATGACCCAGCCATCCCATTACTGGGTATCTATCCTAAGAACCTGATATCAGAAATCTCAAGAGTCCGTTGCACCCCTATGTTCATCGCAGCATTATTTACAATAGCCAAGACGTGGAACCAGCCTACATGCCCAGAAACTGATGATTGGATAAAGAAGATGTGGTATATATACACAATGGAATACTACTCAGCCATAAAAAAAGACAAAATTGGCCCATTCACAACAACGTGGATGGACCTCGAGGGTATTATGTTAAGCAAAATAAGCCAGTCAGAGAAAGACGAACTCTATATGACTCCACTCATAGGTGGAATTTAGTATATTGATATGGAGATCTGATCGGTGGTTACCAGGGAAAAGGGGGGGTGGGGGGAGGGCACAGAGGGGGAAGTGGTGTACCCACAACATGACTAACAAAAATGTACAACTGAAATCTCACAAGGTTGTAATCTATCATAACATTAATAAAAAAAAAAAAAAATTTGTCACTCTCACTGATAAATCATGATATATAGAGAAATGCCCTCTAAATTGGAATCAGAAAATGTGAACTCTTAATGGAAGGAATAATTGAAATTCACAGTCTCTCTTGTGCAGCCTTTGAGAAGTGCTACATTAAGCATTCAGGATAATTTTATTTCAAGCTGAGCAAGACCCTTAAATTCAAGTTGGGCGAAGCAGTGTTAAAACAGGCACATCTCTGCTCGGGTACTGAATTGCGGATGAAGAGAAATGGACATTGTGTTTCTCTCTGGCTTACTTTTAGGACGTGGATCTGGACCGCCAGTCTTTGAGCAGCATAGATAAGAATGCCTCGGAGCGAGGCCAGAGCCAGCTCTCCAACCCGACCGATGACAGCTGGAAGGGCAGACCGTACGCAAGTAAGCTGGCTTTTGTTGATGTTGTTATTTATTTATTTTAAATAGGTAACACGTTTACCTGATTCAGGTATTCAGAAGGTGCAAAAGCGTAAACGTGATAAGCCTGTCTTCCACCCTGTGCCTCAGTCTACCAGTCCCTTCCCTGTAGCAGCCAGTGTCACCAGTTTTTTATGTACCTTTCCAGAAACATTTTGTTTATATACAAGCAAATGCATATCCATACACACACACACACATGTATATCCATATTTATGTATCAATTCTCTTCCTTTACTTTTTATATAAATTATAGAATACTGTGCATTATTCCTTTTTCTCTTAATATATCTTAGAGATCATTCAAAATCGGTACCTAAGGAGCTTTCACATTCTTTTATACTATTGTGTCTTATCCCAGGATGTTGATGTACTATTGTTTGCTTAATTGGGTTCCTACTAATGGACATTTATATTATTCCCAATCTTTTTTTTTTTTTTTACAAACAGTACTACACCGAATCACCTACTATATCTGTCATTTGTGAGTTTATCTGTACAATAAATTCCTAGAAATAGGGTTGCTAGATTAACAGATAAGTACACTTGCCATTTGACAGATGATTCCAGATTGCTGCCCACTAAGGTTGTACCTATTTACATGATCTTTGGGAACACCTGGGTGATACTTGGCATCTTTGGAGTAGTTTTCATTTGCAGCTTTCTAGTTGTGAGTGAAACTGAGAAGTTTTTCATGTGTTTAAGAACCATTTCTATTTTTTCTATGAATTATCTGTTCATAATCTTTGTTCATTTCATATTGATTGTTGGTCTTTTTTTATTGGCTTGGAGGAGCTCTTTATATGTTAAAGATCCCTTTTCTGTGTATGAGTTTCGAGTTACTTTTACCAGTTTGTCTCTTAATGCTGCTTATGGTGTGTTTTGCTGTCTGTCATTTGAAAAAATAGGTTGAACAGTTGCCATGAGTCAGGCACTATACTGTGTGTTTCATGTGTGTGATCTCATGTAATCCTTACGCTAACCCTTTGAGGAAGTACTCTTTTACATTCGAGTGAACTGGGACTTCAATGACATGACTTGCCAATATGTAGTAGAGTTGGGGTTCAGACACACTTTTAGCTGACTGAGAATCAGAACTTTTCTGGTGTCATTCTGGCCTTTTTTGAAGTTGTGTGCCTGTTGTTTTTCTTCATATAGTCCCACCCTCTTCTCAACATGTCAGGCTGTAGGTGTTCATATTGTTGTTAACTTCTGAAGCACCATGTTAGAAAAAGCCATGTGTGATCACCATTACCTTTTGAAGGCATAAAAAATAGTCACCCTTGAAATCCATTAAAAAGGTGCCATGTTGGAGACTGAAGCCCTGTTCCTCAGCAGCTGCAGCACAGCCACTTTCTCTCCAGTGTCCAGTGAGAGCGTGAGCTCTGTTTCCTCATCAGCTCCAGATAAAGAGGTTGGCTTGTGTGTAGGGGGCAAGTGTACATTTCTTTAAATAGAACCACTCTCAGTGCAGCAAAACATCTGTACTCTGAGAGATGCCTGGGACTCAAGACCCTGCTGTTGCTCCAAGGAACGGTGCTCCTTTCTCCCGTCTCCATCTCAGCCCCTGTTCTGGGCATGCCTCACTGAGTGGAGCAGCAGGCAGAGTCTCTTACCCCACTCGTTTTGTTTTCTTCCCTTCTCTTAATTTTTGGTCCAAGATGATGTAATTGAATTGGCATAAGTTATAATATTACAACTTCACTGTCTTCTTTTTCAATTAAAACTTAATGCTGTATAGACAATTTATATGCTTGTGTGTGTGTTTGTGTGTATATATAATTTCACAGCCACTTTCAAAATCTTGAAGGTGACCAAACCTTCTTGTTTTCCATCACTAAATGCTTTATTTAATGTTTTCAACATTCTGATTCTATGACAATAAGTTGAATAAGAAATCTCTACTTTTACTATAGTCAAATCAGCCATCACTTACGAAGTACTTGACATGTGTTGCCCTTGAGCCCAGGGATTAAGAAGATAAAAATGGATGAGACACTAGTC